AAGCAGCTTAGTTCCTCAAACGCAGCCTTCCCTGAAGGCACGATTACAGTCCATCATGTCCGCACCGCGCTGCCCGTCTTTGATCTGGACCCATGTTTGACACAGCTGCAAATTCTAGTCGATCACGTGTCTGTGATCGTGGAACATGGCTCTAATCAATGTCGTTCGCACCCACGTATATCAGTTCCACAGGTCTAATGCGTGGCCTTGAACCAGAATGTATTTCGTTGGCTTCCGTCAACATCCATTGATGCACAATTCTTGATGAAAGTCGGAATTATAAGGGATTGTATCGGGAGACGTCAATTGGTCAGACTACGTGATAACATTGCCCTTTATATAGAGAGAATCCATTGGTGGTTGACATTGGTGGTTTGTTTAATCGAGGGGTTAAGTTTGAAGTGATCTTTTTAACGAGCGGCGGATGAAGCGAAACCTGTTCAGGGCCTCACCACTGCCGTCCATATGGCATCCGAGATCGGAGACCGCCTCCGTGGTCTTGTGGTGGTGCGCCTGGAGGCTGGAGGCTGGAGGCTGGAAGGTCCGGGGTTCGATCCCCGACCACATCATACCAGATACGTTAAAAGATGGAACTTGTTGTTACCCTGCCTGGTCCTCTGCATTAAGGGGTTAAAACAAGGAACATATACGTCTCTGTATAAGTGCAATAATCTTGAAGAAGTAGCTAAACCCCATTTCACCTCACCTCACCGAGATCGGCAATAGTTATAGTAAATAGAGAGAAAACTAAATTTGGGATTAAATAATTTATAAAGCATATTAGAACAAATATCTTGAAGGAAAAATGTCTAAAGCCAATATTTGAGACGTTAAAACGTTAAAACCTGCTCGTATTCCGGAAACTACCGAGGGTTAATGAGCAGAGTTGTCATCACGTGACGTGACGTCATATTGGCGACTTGTAGCCGATCACTGTTTCTGTGTAGCGTTTGGTATATTACTAGCGTTTGCTATTGCATCACCTGAAAATGCCATCGACGAAAACGTTGAATTTTCGATCAGTGACCTTACACATATTCGTCCATATTGATATGAGCCAGTGGTTAGTCAAAATAGTCTTAAACAACTGCGAGGAAAGCGAGGAAGATCTACCGGGTGAAGACAATCAGTCTGATGCCAACACGGAAAGACTAGGGGATACACTAGAAGTGTAGAAGTGATGCAGGTGTCAGACGTTTACCACTTCGGTGAAACCCACGAGTACGGGCATGGTGCTGACAAACCTAGAAACAAAATCGGGGCGAACCGGGATTCGAACCCACAATCATAGGTTTCTGGCGTGTCCAAGGGACGCAACTCTGCACAGCGAATCGCGGCGCCTCAGACGACTGGGCCACCCGTGCCCCAACTCTTTATTTAAACTGACAGTTAATATCTGATAATTTAAATCTGACATGCTGTAATATCGGTGCTGTTAAACAATAATCTAATCTTCTGTTTTCTTTAACGAAACTAGTTGTGTTGCGGTGCTTGATTGAAATAATACAATTATCACCGATGCCCCTTGTCGTACCTGGTGAGCTAACAATGCCTAAGATAACCATGAGGTAGATGCTTTCGACACGTTGCCCTTTGGTTTAATTCAAAGAACAATACTTTTACATATTATGCCAACCCATTTCTGGTATCCTTCGCCATGACATGGCTGAAATATTGCTGCAAGCGACGAAAAGCCACACTGAGTGACTCATATATATTGCCAACGTGTTTGCAGTGACTCCTATAACAGCACGAAACAACCATGGAGCTATATTTACTTATCAAACAACACTTTAACAACAATTTCAAATATCGATATACATGAGGTGAGGTGAAATGGGGTTTAATGTCGCGTCCAAGATTATTGCACTTATATAGCGACGTGCATGTACGTGTATATATGTGTGTGTGTGTGTGGCTGCTTTTACTAGTCCGGATTGATGCCGTTTATAGTGCAAGCCCACTGAGATACCATGCCGCAGTTTAACATGAATACCCCACTCAGACACAGTTTACTGACTCCGAGCCGACCAGTCCTTGTTTTAGCCCCTTAATGCCGAGCGCCAGACAGGGTAACAACAAGTACAATCTTTTAATTTCTTTTGGTATGACGAGGCCGGGGATTGAACTCCGGACCTTCCGCTCTGCGGGCGGACGCTCTACCACTAGACCACGAAGGCGGTCTCGATATACATGAAGTTTGCTTATGTGTATATAAAATTACATATAATTATATGTTCAACCAATTCACCAATTTAACTGAAACATATTACAGATGTACAAACGCAAGCCCCTTGCTGTTTGAGGCGACCTTTGAGTTTTTCATATGTGTAAACTTCAACAGGATCGCAATATTTAGTAACACCTTCATTTCAAGTTAGAGGCCCAAGGCCCATAGGACATACCATCCAGGATTACAATTACTGATGAAGGGACTCATACAATTTCATTGCATTAAAAATGAATTTTGATAGCTGTACAATTGTAGGTTTATGATTAGAAGACATCAGGCGAACAAAGGATTCCAGTGACGGACTTACAAAGTATTTAGGATCATTACTTGTTATAAGTAGTCATCACCAGTCAACAGCAACAGCGGTCACGGTCAGTGTTATTTGTGTAACGTGGGAACACACACACACACACACGCACGCACGCACGCACGCACGCACGCATACACACACACACACACACACACATGGTTGGCACAATCCCAATAAGACCACGTAAATGTTAAGTTTAAATTTGTGTGTTATCGTCGACCGACGGTTTAATATGCTTATAATCAAGGTGGGAGGTGGACTAGGAGTTTTGTTTTTACAAACTATGTCTTTCAATCAGCGCTACAACAGTGGAGAGGAATACACATTTTACATCATGTTCAAAAGAAAGAAAAAAACTTGACAGACATATAATCAAATCAACATATTCTTTCATTTAAATTAAATTGATTGCGGGTAATTAAATCCTACCTACACTTCAAAATACACGAAGATCGAATCTCAGACACCTGACAAAGCACACGTCAGCTAACGGAACAAATTGTCAGCTTACAAAAAACTACGACAACATAATAAGCACAAACTTTCACCATTATAACAGATCCTTGCTCGAAGCCCCGGAATCGATACAAAACGATCGATTTATGGTCGTTTGGAATAAATCGCCTTCAAAATGTGGACTTTTCAATTATGTTATACACCAGACCTTATCATCAACAAACACTGAATTTACGTGTGCTAAAATACCCGACGGTATAGTTATTCCTAGTTTTCATTGCCACGAAAGCCATTTCTTGTTAGTAACAGAGTAAGTCATCGCTCTCTTCGACAAGAACCTAACAATTATGAAACTAACCAGATCTCCTGATCCGATCGCCACAGACCGTCGCACTTCCATTGATGATCAATTCTTATTTATTCTTGACAAACTATACTTTACTGTAATTTATTTCTATATAAACACTGTTATTTCTTTTACATAACTGAACGTTGTCCACTGAATGAAGTGCACTGGCAACCAAGTACAGGGCTAATCATGCTTTATTGTCTATAGAAGATAATAGACGTTGTTAGAGAGTTCATAAATCATAGGTCTGTGAGTGCAATAGCCTTAAGGGAGTTGGTGTAATTGCCCACAAGGCACAGCCAGAGGCTAGACCTTGTTGTGATATAGGAATAGTCAATGCGTTTCTTTTTCTCCAGCTAGTATTTGTTTGCTCCTGAAATAATATATCCAATACAGCCAATGCAAGCCTATGACATTTTGCAAGTCTGAAAATGAAGAGAGTCTCTGGGCTCCTTTTTCTTATATTTTATTACTATAATTTAACAACTGTTTTATCCGTAAAATATGACCATTTCAGAGACTAGATGTAAGTCTACACGTGGGAGATCATCACGTTGTTCATCCATTTTGCTGATATCCTATTATCAGTTGTCATTGTGACCAACCGATACACATATGTCACACTTCAGAGTTGATCCTCCACTTGTTCGTCCATTCAGTTAATATTCCTCCAGCCAACAGTCATTTTGACCAACCGAAACAGGTAAGTAACACGTCAGAGTTGATCCTCTACGGTGTTCATCCATTTTGCTAATTATAATATCCTATCATCAACAGTCATTGTGACCAACCGATACACAGGTAAGTAACACGTCAGAGTTGATCCTCTCCGTTGTTCATCCATTTTGCTAATATCCTATCATCAACATTCATTGTGACCAACTGATACACAGGTAAGTAACACGTCAGAGTTTATTCATGATAAACTGCAACATGACTTCTCAGTAGGATAGCACTATAAAATCGTCCGGACTAGTACAGGCAGGCACCGACACGTGCACGCTCGCCGCTATATAAATGCAATAATCTTGGACGCGACGTTAAACCCCATTTCACCTCATTTTATGGAAAATGTGTCTTTTTATTCTGTGAAGCCTCTTTAACCCAGAAGCACCGTCTTCGGAGCGACTACTGTTTGAGGCGTCAACATATGTGTGCATTTACATTTGCAAAAGAACAGTTCTCAACAGCAATGATTCGTTGAATATCACTTGGTTTTAAATAACAGGGCTTCACTCCTAATGTACATACTCTTCTCAGTAATAGCCCGGTATCCGTTTTATCGGGGTCAAAACTTACAATACAATGAGTACACGTCAAACCGTTGAAACAAAATCGAAAAGGCTGTCGCGGGAGTTAGTGTTAGGTAGATTTAGTTGCACTGGTAGAGCCAGGTGCAGTAAAATGATAGCATTGTAAAAAGCTACGATAAAATGTAGTATACCCCTATTGATTACAAACTTACATGTCAGACCTAGAACCAGAAACTAACATGCACTCATGAAGTGCGTGTACCTGTCTAAGCAGGCTGTAACGTGTCCCAATTGTCAGTTAACGCATTGTCACACCACACACCCCCCCCCCCCCCCCCCCGCACCCACATCCCTACTCCCCCAACCCCCAACATATGGTGACTTTAAGACAAGACTGAACGTATATTATAAAAAGATCATGTCATGTCGTAACATGCTATAATGATGTAATCTGCACACCAGTGCACTCCAGACAAATTTTCCGAAGCAGAAGCTTTGTAGCCCAAACCTGTAGGTAAGTCAGATACAAAAAGTGTATATATCAAAGTACATGATATTATATTATATTTGAGGTAACTAAACTACGATTTGAGTGTGTCTGTCAGAGTGTCTGTGTGTGTCTGTCAGTGTGTGAGTGTGTCTGTCAGAGTGTCTGTGTGTGTCTGTCAGTGTGTGAGTGTGTCTGTCAGAGTGTCTGTGTGTGTCCGTCAGTGTATGAGTGTGTCTGTCAGAGTGTCTGTGTGTGTCTGTCAGTGTGTGAGTGCGTCTGTCAGTGTCCGTCTGTGTGTGTGTGTGAGTGCGTCTGTTAGAGTGTCTGTGTGTGTCTGTCAGAGAGTCTGTGTGTGACTGTCAGTGTGTGAGTGTGTCTGTCAGAGTGTCTGTGTGTGTCTGTCAGTGTGTGAGTGTGTCTGTCAGAGTGTCTGTGTGTCTGTCAGTGTGTGAGTGCGTCTGTCAGTGTCCGTCTGTGTGTGTGTGTGTGAGTGCGTCTGTCAGAGAGTCTGTGTGTGACTGTCAGTGTGCGAGTGTGTCTGTCAGAGTGTCTGTGTGTGTCTGTCAGTGTGTGAGTGTGTCTGTCAGAGTGTCTGTGTGTCTGTCAGTTTGTGAGTGTGTCTGTCAGAGTGTCTGTGTGTGTCCGTAAGGGTGTGAGTGCGTCTGTCAGTGTCCGTCTGTGTGTGTGTGTGTGTGTGTGTGTGAGTGCGTCTGTCAGAGTGTCTGTGTGTCTGTCAGTGTGTGAGTGTGTCTGTCAGAGAGTCTGTGTGTGTCTCTCTGTGATGGAGTGTGTCTGTCAGAGCGTCTGTGTGTGTCTGTCAGAGTGTCTGTGTGTGTCTGTCGGTGTGTATGTGTGTGAGTGTGTCTGTCAATGTTTATGTGAGTATGTCTGTCAGTGTGTGTGTGTATGAGTGTGTCTGTGTGTCAGTGTTTGTGTGTGTGTATCCGTGTGATTCTGTCAGTGTGTATGTGTGTGAGTGTGTTTGTGTGTGGCTGTCAGGGTGTGTGTGTGCATGTGTCTGTCTGTCGGTGTGTGTCAATGTGTGTCTGTGTGTATTTCTGTCAGTGTAGGGTATGTGTGTGTGTCTGCCTGTCGGTGTGTGTCCATGTATGTCTGTGTGTATTTCTGTCAGTGTAGGGTATGTGTGTGTGTGTGTGTCTGTCGGTGTGTGTCAATGTATGTCTGTGTGTATTTCTGTCAGTGTAGGGTATGTGTGTGTGTCTGCCTGTCGGTGTGTGTCCATGTATGTCTGTGTGTATTTCTGTCAGTGTAGGGTATGTGTGTGTGTGTGTGTGTCTGCCTGTCGGTGTGTGTCCATGTATGTCTGTGTGTATTTCTGTCAGTGTAGGGTATGTGTGCATGTGTGTGTCTGTCTGTCGGTGTGTGTCCATGTATGTCTGTGTGTATTTCTGTCAGTGTAGGGTATGTGTGTGTATCCTTGTGTGTGTGTCTGCCTGTCGGTGTGTGTCCATGTGTGTCTGTGTGTATTTCTGTCAGTGTAGGGTATGTGTGTGTGTGTGTGTGTCTGTCTGTCGGTGTGTGTCCATGTATGTCTGTGTGTATTTCTGTCAGTGTCTGTGTGTGTGTATGTGTGTGTCTGTCTGTCGGTGTGTGTCTATGTATGTCTGTGTGTATTTCTGTCAGTGTAGGGTATGTGTGTGTGTGTGTCTGTCTGTCGGTGTGTGTCCATGTATGTCTGTGTGTATTTCTGTCAGTGTAGGGTATGTGTGTGTATCCTTGTGTGTGTGACTGTGTGTTTCTGTGTTTTGTTTAACTCCGCATTCAGCAACGTGCACTGTATGTAAAACTTTCTGGTAATCGTGGGTCGTTGCTTTGGTGACAAACAGGAATAGCTCATGGCAGTCAACCTGAATAGAGAACCTTCATAACAAAACATTTTACTAGTAGGGGCAAACCTAGATACATAATCGGGGCGAAACTGTGATTTCAACCTACGGCCATCCGATCCACAGGTTGGTCACACGTCAGAGTTGAATCAGTCAGACGTTCTTCGTCCATTCAGTTAATATTCTCCCAGTGAATAGCCATTGTGACCACCCGATCAACTTTTAGTCTAAAAACAAGCATTGGAGCTCAAACTAGGACCTAAATTCATTTCATCCGAGACACTTTTACAAATCAAATCCTGAATTTATGAAAGGAAATTCACAAATATATCCAGGAAAACGACAACGGTGACACTGATTTATCATGATGATAACGTGATTAGATAAGAACTAAAGTCTTGATCTCAGGACCCTGTTAATAAGTACATTACCGTCCAAATGAAGACCGTATTATCGTATCTTATAAGGTAAGGTATTAAAGGTTATTATTAAGCACAGGGGCATGTCAATAGCTCACACAGTGGATATAATTGGAGAGTGAACTCAAATAAGAATTAATGAGTCTCCATGATCATGTAAGGTGGTTAGGTCATTATCGGCGACAAAACCCTTTCCATATACAATAGAGATGGATAGTACGATTCTGACTATGTCATGAGCATGTGTTATGAAACACTATCAAATAGTGATGATACAAGGTGGGCGTAACCTGCCCCATCAGTGGCACCAGTCACAAACACACGCAAAGGCAAGTCAATTGTTCACCTAAAAAAAACCACGGGACATATGGTTCAAGTCAAAATAGAGAATAGCATCGGACATCATTTTTGTCACTGATGCGTAAAATTTGGAAATGTCCTCCGCATGTCTATCATAAAAACCTTTTGAAGGCTTTACTAAGGCCTTAAATGTCGAACCTTGATCAAACAAGATACTTGCAGTGACCTGTGAACAAGTTATCAATGACATGCGCATAAAAATACTAAGGACGTCTAACAACTTCATTGCAAAATGACAAATTCATTTGTGAATGTCGAGTTTATTCCCAATATCGCAGTTTATCATGGTATTTGGTAGGGATGGAGGTATACATTTCCTTGAGTCAATCGTTTACTTACGTCCCCTCATCTACATCGCCAACCCACACCAATATACCCCGAAAGAATAATCAGGTTTAGATTGGTTGACAATCAAACAATATATATAGTAGTAATGATATTATTCAGTAATGAAGTTATTCAGTAGGATATATTTAGTTCGGCATTGACAGAGTTAAATAGTATTTTCACATGATTTAACACTAAATGCTATATCAAGTTACATCGGATTATACAAGAATTCAATGCATGTTGAAACGGGTTGTCCCATGCACGGGATACGATGACACGATGTGTTATCTACCAAGTCATCAAGCCCTGACGACGCGTGTTTTTAAGTCGCCTGTTTCTACAAACATAGGTTGCTGGGGACCAATTCTAGCCCGGAATCCCCACGGGTTTCGAAGCCAGTAAACGTTTCAAATGCGACGATAAAGCTACCGTGTCGCAGCGTCTTAGTGTGATAGGTTTGTATATTCTGACAGAATTAAACGCTGAACGATAAAATGGTCATTGTACCTGTGATTAGATATCCAAAACTTAACTGCATTTGTATGTAGAGGGCGGTCGGGTAGCCTAGTGGATAAAGTGTTCGCTCGTCACGCCGAAGACCCGGGTTCGATTCTCAACATGGGTACAATGTGTGACGCCCATTTCTGTCGCGCCGAAGACCCGGGTTCGATTCCCAACATGGGTACAATGTGTGAAGCCCATTTCTGGTGTCCGCCGCCGTGATATTGCTGGAATATTGCTAAAAGCGGCGTAAAACCATACTCACTCACTTACTTGTATGTAGAACTCTTTGGTAACCGTAGTGCTAGTAAGACCTAAATGTTGATCGCTGAAATTATCTTTGTGCCTACGATTACATGTCAGTGCATTTGTGTCCGGAAACGGTGCCAAACAGGAATAGTACCGCCGCTGTCAATGCTGATGGTGGTCATATCCGATACTGACTTGTGAACTGACAAATGCCCCATGCCCCATTCAGTCTGAGATGACGTTGAGAGAGGACATGTGTGGACACTGTCATGATTTTTATGGACATCAATATATTGTCCTCTTGTTAATTCGATCTGTGTTTGCCCTTATCTTGTGTGACATGAAAGCTGTAGTGTTATGAACAAATAAACAACTGAGTGAGTTGGGTTACACGCCGCTTTGAAGAGTATTCCAATTACAACACGGCGTATCCAATTAATGTGGCGGAAAGCCCGAAGTGAATGCAGGCTTCAGACGTTTACCACTTTAGTGAAACCCAAGAGAACTGGTATGGTGCTGACAACATAATCTGGGCGACCCGGGATTCGAAGCCACAATCATAGGTTTCTGGCCAGCAACTTTGTCCTACCCAACACACCCGAGGTCTATCTGTCCTACCCAACACACCCGAGGTCTATCTGTCCTACCCAACACACCCGAGGTCTATCTGTCCTACCCAACACACCCGAGGTCTATCTGTCCTATCCAACACACCCGAGGTCTTTCTGTCCCACCCAACACACCCGAGGTCTTTCTACACGCATCAATACCTCGTGCTCTCACCTTAACCATTACTACGTAACGGCTGTCTGTTGAGAAATATACTCGTGTGTGGACCAGACAAACCACTGATTAGTATTTTTACGAAGAGCAACCACTCACGCAGTCGGAGTACAATGACACGTTGTGTTTTCAACAATGTCACCGATGTCGCCTGTTTTGACAAGTATAGGTTACTGGGGACCAATTCTAAAACAGAATAACGCCGGGATGCGAAGTCAACAAACGTTGCAAATGCTTCGATAAAGCTGATCTTCTTCGTAGGATTTGTTGTTTGTATTTTCTGGAAGACTTTAAAAGTTGATCGCTGAAATGTTCATGGTGCCTACGATTAAATATCTAAACATTACACTGCATCTGTGTTCGACAACCGTGCCAAACAGGAATAGTACCGCCGCTGTCAATGCTGATGGTGGTCATACCTGATACTGACTTGTGAACTGACAATTGCCCCATGCCCCTTTCCGTCTGAAATGACGTTGAGGGAGTATGGTTTTACGCCGCTTTTAGCAATATTCCAGCAATATCACGGCGGCGGACACCAGAAATGGGCTTCACACATTGTACCCATGTTGGGAATCGAACCCGGGTCTTCGGCGTTACGAGCAACCGCTTTAACCACTAGGCTACCCGATCGCCCCTGATATGACGTTGAGAGAGGACATGTGTGGACACTGTCATGATGACTTCATGTTTCATGGACATCAATATGTTGTCCTCTTGCTATTTCGATCTGTGTTTGCCCTTATGGTGTGTGACATGAAACCTCTAGTGTTATGAACAAATAAACAACTGAGTGAGTTGGGTTACACGCCGCTTTGAAGAGAATTCCAATTACAACACGGCGTATCCAATTAATGTGGCAGAAAGCCCGAAGTGAATGCAGGTTTCAGACGTTTACCACTTTGGTGAAACCCAAGAGAACTGGTATGGTGCTGACAACATAATCTGGGCGACCCGGGATTCGAAGCCACAATCATAGGTTTCTGGCCAGCAACTCTGCCACCCGTGCCCCCTTATTATCCCAAAGCAATCGGCGTTGATTATACTATCCATAGTGTTATAATGTATGCATATTAACTTGTTACATCCATGTTTGCTTCTTGTTCAACATGTTCAACTCTGCTCCGAGCAAATATTCCATCTAAATGACGATGACCTGTACCGAGTATGGACCAGACAATACAGTGATTGATGTGATGTCATATATAACCCAATTAGCGTTTGTGCGCAATCAAACTTTATGATGTAAAGTGAAACCTTGTTAATCAGGATTACCTTCCCGGTGAAATCGTCCGTACTAACACATTTCCGGGTTGATAAATCTTGGGTATGAAGTAATGATATACACTCTCAGGAGAAATCATCCAAAAACCGCAGTTTCCGAATAAACGGGGTTCTGGATTAGCGGGGTTTCACTGTATACCAATCAAGCAGTTAACTATTACCTTCATTTTACAGAGGTAGACACAAGGCACAAATTACATCTTACAACTTGAGACAGTGTAGAAAAGTTTTATTTTAAGCGAAATAATTAGAGTGAAATACATAATACAGTACTTGAACGCAAAATTGAAGATTTACTTTCTCACTGACGTCGAAATTTGGTGTCGTTAGTTTTAATTAAATTTGATATTTTAAATATCCATTACAGAGACTTCCTATCTCCAACAACCATGGGTCAAGTTCATAGTGTAGCTGAGACTCAAGCTGAAGCTCAATGTTCAACGAAGACCATTAAAGCATATAGAGAGTTGTTAATGGGTCTAAGAATTCGCAGCATGATAGGGTCTTATATGATGTACGACCAGTCAGACAAATACAGTACCTTGGCGTCCTGGATGCTCATAGCAGCTAGTGGAATAATGGGCGTGGCTGCAGGAACTTTATCCATGTACATCCCTGTAGGTAAGGGAAGGATCCCTTTGATATCTAAGATAGCCATAGGGATGATCACTGGCTCAAGCGGCACCTTCAAAGCTGGCAGCATGCTTCTTCATGAAAAGTTTGAGGAGAAGCAGGAGCTCTTCAACAAGACAGGCGCCGGATGGCAGGAACTAGAGTTGAAGATCCGTCACTTCCTTGATACTACTGAGGACACAGAAAACATAGATAAGTACGAACAATTCACAAAGGAGTGTATAAAACAACGGGGAGATATATGCCGTCTGTCAAAACCAGAGAGGGGCATCTACAAAAAGTTCAATGCAGGTTCGCCTAGTGTCGTAATGGAGCGATATAAGAAAAAGAGAGATGTCGTCGCAGGTATTCGTGTTGAACTTGAAAAGTCGGAATCCTCCTCCGAAGAACCTGGAGATGACTGACTTATCTATTTAACCTGCCACATTTTTGCAACAAATGCTTTCCCCGCTGTTTTTTACTACTTTATGCTTTGAAGGCAACTGATGTACCTACACGTCAGTAAGACAAGAGTAAATCTCAATCTTTTTGTTTCTTTTTTATTCGCATATTATCTGTGACGGCATGTTGTGTGTCCTTGTAATGTAATGTAATATGTTCCAGACATAAGAATGATAGATATTAAGGGTAATACCTAGCCACTCTATCCAAATTTCTCGCCTCTTACGGCGAGCAGCAGTGTGATGTGGTCTAATGCTAACCCGGAATATTATGAATTTGAGTCAAAGGCTAATAACAAACTAAAATAGAACTGTGAGTACCATTCTCCACAAGATTGTATGCCAGGGGGGTGGGGGTGGGCGGCTTCAACTTTCCAATATTTAACATTCCCTTTATGTCGAGCAATATTCAATCAGTTACAGCCTTTGGTGTCTACATTTCACACCTTTTTGAGGCCTCATAGAACATGCTCTTTCTACGAAGCTTTCAAAAAGCGTCAAACGACGGAAGATATTTCAAAACTTGACACATCAGTGACCACAAGGATGTCCGATGCAATTCACTATATTGACTTGTACCATGTGTTCAATGTATTGTTTGTTTATCAGATAAACAATTGACTTGCATTTGCATGTATTTGTGACGAGTGCAATCGGTGGGGCAGAATATGTTCACCTAGTATCAGCACTATTTGATAGTGATTAATAAACTATAAAAGTCAAAGCCAGGGAATAATCAGTCACGATTATCCGCATATTTCTTTGAGCACAAAAGGCAAAATAGGGGCGATTAAATTATGTGAATAGATCACTGAAAATCAATGACACCATGTGTTCGCGAAACAAGTAAGCATGTCCTGCTCTACCGATATCACCCGCCACTCTCATAATTTGCATTAAAAAAGTATGTGAAACAATTAAGCTTGTTATAGGATGATGAAATGGTTGTCTTTTGGGTCACACAGAGAGCCTAGTAGTCGAGTGGTTAAAACTAAAAGCCCAGGTTCGATTAACCACTTAGGTACAATGTGTAAAGCCCAATTCTGGTGTCATCCTTTTTTCTTATGCAGGAAAATGCTAACATTGGCATAAAACAACACTCAGTCACCCAGTGTTCGCTCAAATTGGTTAACATATCCTGCTGTAGTGGTAGCATCCGCCATTCACACAGTTTGCATAAAAAAAGTAAAAACAGTGAAAACATACTCATGATATAGTCAGAATCACACACTGGACTATGCTACTAGCAAAGATTTCTTATGAATATGGAAATGGTTTTGTCGCTTTTATGTATGTAGTTATCTTTTATTATAAACCTGACATTTTCATTGTTGTATCGATCACAAATGCTTTTTAACGTTTAATGTTACTTTTTAAACATGTAATATAATTGAACTATTGTTAAAGTGAGCGCTGATTCCACCAACAATGTTATTTAGATCATTTAGATACATCATAAAAATTATGTATTGTCATTTAGTGTGCAAACATGGTGTGGATTTTTTATTATTGATTTACGTTCTGAAAAAGCTTACTGTCGCTTTCTGATTCTGAAGGTTAACCATTTATAAGATGGAAATGGATCGAACATAAGTTTTGCAATTTGTCTACATAACGTCCTGCATTATTGAATATATTTTGTTCGTATTTATTTGCTTTATAATATACTTGTAGTTATTTCATATGCTTGGAAATAAAATCAATTAAATAGCAATATTCCATCGTCTTGTTTCCCAAATGTAGATACTATTTCATTTATTTCAAAGATAATCCATTTTTTTTCTGAGTTGAATACACACCGTGTAAGTTTTGGGAGTTGCCTAATCTTTTATGTGAAAGAACTCGGTCTCATATCATAGAATTGGAAAGACATTTTTCGCCATTTTGGAGTGAGATTGTATGGTATTGTATCTTTAAATTGTGTCAAAGATGCATATGGCACTTGAGGTTCTGTGGTTTGCTTGTTTGTTTGTTTGTTTGTTTGTTTGTTGTTTAACGCCGCACTCAGCAATATTCCAGCTATATGACGGCGGTCTGTAAATAATCGAGTCTGGGCCAGACAGTCCAGTGATTGACATCATGAGCATCCATCCACGCAATTGGGATACAATGACATGCATCAACCAAGTCAGCGAGCCAGACCACCCGATCCCGTTAGTCGCCTTTTACGACAAGCATCGTCGCCTTTTACGGCAAGCATGCGTTGCTGAAGCCTTATTCTACCCCGGACAAGCATGCACTAATGGTGACATATTTTGCAACTTGCTTCTACAGGGAGACATGCATGCAGTACTGGGGACATATTTAGCCACGGCCTCCCAGAGAGAGACAAGCATGCACTACTGTGAACCAAAAGCCATTGAATGTTCCTGGTCATGTTCAAACACCTAAAACGTCGCTATATAAGTGCAATAATCTTGGACGCGACGTTAAACCCAATTTCACCTCACCTCAAACACCTAAAGGAAACTATTTGCGGACATTTGATCTCCCATAAAAACAGGTACATTATCTAAGCACGCACAAACACAGTCGAGCGGAAAGGTATGCCATCATGTGAGTTATACAACTACGATGTTTGAATTGGTTGGTGTTGCCACAACACAACATAAAAAAGTTTCGTAATATCCGCTATTATGAATCTGTTGAATGGTATTAGCATGTGTAAAGTTGTATTTCGATAGTTTTTTATGTTCTCCTTTGTCAACACCGATAAAGCCGGGCGTGGGACACGACTTCACAGAAAAACAAATAAGCTCGAATACCTTATGTAGACAACAGCAAAAAATATATTTTCCAGGGTATATTTCATTTCCGTTATTTTTATGTCGTCCTTCCATTGTATGGTACAATGAAGATATAGTACACTTGATGCAGATAATGGATTTTACACATAATATATTTTATATTTTCCAAAAAAGCTCTCAGTATCGCGTATTTGGCACAGTGGACTAATGCTCTCAATAATGGTTGCCAACGCTGCCAAGGGAAGATTGTGCCTCGCTTCAGTAAGAGCATTGTCGAGTTAATGCCCGGAGAGCGGAAGGTCCGGTGTTCGATCCCCGGCCTCGTCATACCAAAAGACGTCAAAAGGTGGTACTTTTTGTTACCCTGCCTGGCGCTCGGCATTAAGGGGTTAAAACTAGGACAGGACGGCTCGGAGTGTACTGCGTCTCAGTGTGCTACAAGCAGTACTTGGTTCACATTTGCCACGGAAATCCTACGAGGTGACGAGCATGGGGCGCTGGGGACCTTTTCGTTCTGCTTCGGAATACCCATAGCACATTAATACACACATCTCTGGATAAATGAGTATCAGGTAAACGGCACGTCATTTTTAAGATCAAAGCTGTGTTGGTCATTCTTAGTGATCAGTTGTAATTCTCACTAGCCATTGAGACCAATCCATCCCCATTTATATCCTTGCAACAGGAACGGGTACTGGGTACATATTCTACCCTCAGTATCTCTACACAGTTATTAGGACAACACAAATTAATATATACGAGTGGAAAGCAATGCTATAGAGATTTGAAAATAATTAACTGAGGAAAAATACTATCTCCTGATAACAAGGACTAAACGAACATCTAGTCTCTGAAATAAACATATCGTACAGAAAAAAACAGTTGTTCAATTATCTTAAAAAATTATAATAAAAAGGAGCCAAGAGATTCTGATACTGCAGTAATCTAGACTTGCCAACCATTATAGACTTGCATGGGCTGTAATTCATATATTCGTATCAGGGTCTGTAAGACAGACTAAACAAGGACTTACGGGTCATTAAAGTAAATATGAAACCTTTATAAGGAAAATGGATAACACAGGGAAACACACACGCCCTACAGAAGGAAAACAAACAGATTAGTCAAATGTCAATGGTTGATACGACTGATAAACTTATTTGGTGTCATATCTGTACTTCATATTTGTAGTAGTCTACCACGTGACTGATATGACAAGCTGAAGAACTGTACAGTATATGCACGCGACAGGACATCCAGGAGTGAAGCCGACAGCCAGGAGTTATACGTGAGTAACGTTGTGCAATGTGACTCCTCAGTCGGCAATGCTATATCACTAGTTGTCTGCAGATGGGCTAGTCTAAGTATGCCCCCAACGAAGCGATCTTAGTGCTCCTATGCTTCTAATTAGACTTACGGCTGTCGTCTGAGATCGTTGTGAGCGAAACCTAAGACAGGGAAGCCAGTGTTTGAAAGGTTGAGTGAGTGAGTGAGTGAGTGAGTGAGTGAGTGAGTGAGCTGGGTTTAAAGCCGGTTTGGACGGTATTTCAGTTATATCACGGCGTGTCGAATTACAGAGGGAGGAAAGTCCGAAGTGATGAAAATCGTCTAAGTTTAAAACTTATGTGAAGCCTCGGGTATGGTGCAAACAAACCTAGAAACATAATCGGGGCTCATTTGTAATTAGATGTAATGGCACACCAAAGGGACGTTACTCTGCACAAGACATAACGTAACCTCAGACGACTTGGCCTCAAGTACCTCCTCGCCGAATGAGGAAACTACACTATGTAAACTACCGTTAGGTTGATACCGTTTACTGTTACTCAACGAAACATCGACATCCATACCGACCGCCGACGCGGTCTAGTGGTAGAGCGTCTGCCCGGAGAGCGGAAGGTGGGTGGTTCAATCCCCGGACGCGTCATACCAAAAGACGTTAAAAGATAATACTTGTTGTTACCTTGCCTGGCGCTCGGCATTAAGGGGCTAAAACAGGACTTGTCGGCTCGGAGTCGTGTCTGGGCGGGGTATTCATGTTAAAACACACAGACACACACACACACGCACGCACGCATGCACGCACGCACGCACGCACGCACGCACGCACACACACGTGCATGCTCGTCACTATATACTAGTAAGTGAAATAACCTTGAACGCGACGTTAAACCCATTTCACCTCACCTTATCGAATTGACATGCATACCCTGAAAATGCATACACAGGAAATCAAAAATGTTATTTACAGATAGGTAACTTCCTTAAAGGGACACGACTGAGAACCCACTTAAGAATATTGTAAGTGAATGAATGGCTTTACGTCGCTTTTAGTAATATTCCAGCAATACCACGGCGGGGGAGAACCGAAATGGGCTTCACACATGGTACCCATGTCTGGAATCGAACCTGTGTCTTCGGCGTGACGAGCGGACGCTTTAACCACTAGGCTACCAGACCGCCCCTTAGGTTATTGTGAACTTAAATTGCATTGTGTATATCAATATAGCAGTTAACTATTGCTGTGATTACACAGAGACGGTGTCTTAGGTATACACATGGCACCCATTCCACATTACAAAATCGATACTAGAATTGTGGCCCTCTTTAAGTGGAGGAAAAGATACGAATACAACACATAAATCCAATGTATAAAGTAATAAAGTTTGGCGACGTAGTGGAATGACACGTAATTTTGATATTCTTAATATCTTCCATTTTTTCAGAAGTCAACCTCAAGAGGCAGATGAGACACACCCTCAACCTCAATCTGAACCCCAGCCTCAAGCTCAGGCTCAACCTCAGCCTCAAACCCAGCCTCAACTCGAATTTCAACCTGAACCTGAACCGCAACCGCAGCCTCAACCCCAACCGGAAACCCAGCCTCAACCCCAGGCTCAACACGAACCTCAACTTCATTCTCAAACCCAGCCTCAACACGAGCCTCAAACTCAACCTGAACTTCAGCGTCAAGAGAAGCATAAATCTCAGCCTCAGCCCCAACCTCAACCCCAGCCTCAGTCTCTAACTGAAGCAAAAAGCAAGGTCATTGAAGCATGTGAAGTCTTGTTATCCG